AAATAAAAGATAAACCTCAAGATGCTCGGTTCTTAAAGTTTCTCCATGAGCTATCACGGTGTTGTATCCCTTCACACTTCAAACTCAAAAACTACCATTGACATTATATTCTCTTGGAATACCTGATAAAACACGGCCAACATAATACAAAGTATGATGCATAGCAGCAAATGTCGCCATTAAGAAATGTACAAACTTACCTCTGCAGAAGACCTGTTTTCATCCCCAACAAATTGAGTGTTGGAATTGGGTTTGTGAAAACTCATCTCAACCAATGAATCTGTTTGCATTAACAAGAGAGAAMTTTATAAAAAATAAAGTCTAGAACTCCACATATGCATTAACTGTGAAAAATAYGTGAACTTTAAGTTGTCAAGACCATATTGCAAAAGCTCAAAATAAGTACATATAATCATATATCGATCCAAAGATAAAACAGTCATATGTATATACAGTTATATATTATATTTAACCAAAAAATGATATCTAAAAGCTCAAAATAAGTACATAATCATATATTATACGGAACCGTAACTTTTGAGTCTGTTTTCARGTACARGAGGAAGGAAATATAATGATGAACATTATCAAAAATCCTAATTCATTAGTAGAAGAAAATTTTGCCAAACTAGTTGTGTAYCCGCGCAATRCGGCGGGATGTAAAAGTTCATTAAAATTTATTCAATTTCGAGATATCAAAGTCTTTCAAGATGTCATAAAGCCTACAACATTTGTACTTACAGTAGAGTCAAATAACCATGTATGTGAAATGTCGGTATTAGTCGCTTCTGCAATCGTTCGTACAAAAACAAATCTTTTAAGTGGAATTTGTATAATAACAAATCCCTTTGTCGCTTCTGACTCTATTTTTAATCTGCAACAAAATCATGAGTTAGTTTCTCAGAAGTCAGAACCAAAACATTATAATCACCACATGAACAAAATTTCGGAAAGTATTAGCTCACTTCCCCCTATGTTGTAATGGATTTGTCGGTGGTTTTAAAACCTCCTCTATCAGACACGTTTTAAAACCATGATT